TCCTCCTCCTCCTCTTCCTCCTCCTTGTCCTCCTCCTCCTCCTCACTCTCCTCCTCCTCCTCCTCCGATCCGCCCCAGAACGACCTAAGATGACCCGACGTGAATTCAAGACGGCCCACGTGTGCCAAGTTGCGGCGCTCTGACCGTTACTACAGTCGTCAACGCACACTCTACCTTTAGCGCTACTTGATCCACATGTTACAGCCTCCTTCCACCTCTCGAACCGGTGCCTCAAAGTTTACTGGGCTAGCACGATGGCAGGACTTGTCGCAGACAGCGGGACATTGTACCCTTGCAGCAAAATTCAGGAAAATGGTTTGGGTAACTACTCGCTGGCCGACCCGCAATCGGCGAGCTTCAGTGAGGTTGCTACGGTGTGGCCACGCACTCTCACAAAGCTGCATAACTATCCTTCGGCGAAGCTTCCTACGGCATCTCGAATCGTCGAAGGGCCTCGACGGTGGACATGCGAGACATTTTGGCGTCCCCAATGTTGCGTGATGACTGAAGCATTCTGCCAACCCGGCTTTGTCGAAGCAACAACTTGACATCGACGTTACGGGCACCACCCTTTAATGCTGCCATCCCCTGGCTGAATTCTTCTATTGTGAGCTTGCCATCGTCGTTCGAATCGATCAAATAGAAAAGCAAGCTTGCATCACTAATGTCGTAGTCCATCGCCTTCAGCCACAATCGCATTTCTGGACTCTTTAGAGTTTTCTCGAACAGTGCTGAATCCACGGTCGCGCACTCGCTGTTCTTAGTCATCTTCTCGAAAAGGGCCTTCATCTTGGCGAGATGTGTTTTATCTTGCTTATCCTTACTCCTGATCATGAATTGGTCATCGCTATCAGCAGCCCGGAAAGTGTCTTGTGTGAAGACACCCATGTTCACGCCAATCACAGCGACGCCCATTAACAGTTTGTAGAGAATGACAAAGACCGACCAAACCTCATCCATCGTTTCCATCATTAGGCGACAGATCGGAGGCCAATTGGCCAGCATCAACTCGAAAAGAGACACCATAGCTCTCCAGTAGGTACCAAAGTACTTGAAGACTGCCTCCTTCCAAGCGAAGACTCAAAGAACTCGTCTCCATTAGAAGATTGCCCCAGGTAGAAATCCTGGACGATGTTCGTGCGCAAAAGGGCAGACAGCGTCTGAATGAGGAAAAGGAAGGCGATTACCCACATCAGTGCAGACATGCTCCCTCGTAGCGCTGTTGTCATTAGGTAGAGAGAATCGAACAGCTTGATGGATCGCACCAGCTGCATGATCCGCAGCAGCCGTGCCAAACGCAGGATACGAATGGTCGAGATCGGAAGCCCATCCCCCCCTTTGCCCCCCTGGAAAAAGAAGGTGGTAATATCAGTGGTCAGCACAAATACTATATCAAGCCATCCCCAAGGGTCACATAGAAAATCTACACGCAGGAACACAAGCCTCAAAAGTAACTCGATTGTGAACAGCACGCAAAAGACCACGTCGATGATGAAAAGAACGTCAGGGGTCAGCGCTCCTGGAGAATCAAAGAACTTGTCAAAACCATAATTCGCCGGCCCAACGGGCCAGGGCGTGCTAAGATCTCCGGTAACTGGTTAACAGTATTAACAGTATTTCTAGTTCGCGCGCGCGGGGCGGCCCCTGGGGGTCCCCCGGCGAAAAGTACCAACGCCCGGCCGCCGCCCGACCGCCGCCCGACCGCCGCCCAAGTCTACTCAGAGATGGTTTTCCTTCTGGGTGCGGCCTCTCAGGCTCCCCAGAGCGCGCTCAGAGTGCCCCAAGAGGCCCCCAAGACTGCCCAAGAGGCCCCCGAGACGCCCAAAGAGCGCTCGAAGACGCCGAAGATGACCCCAAGACGGCCCAAAAGGCCCCCAAGACAGCCCAAGAGGCCTCCAAGACGCCCCAAGAGCCTTCCAAGAGGCCTCCGAAGAGAGCCCCAAGAGGCCAAAATCGTTGATTTTCATTGTTTTTTCAATGTTTTTTGTGTTCTGGCTTTTTCGGCTTCCGGACGCTCCAAGACGGCCCAAGAGGCCCCCAAGACCGCTCCAAGACGGCCCACGAAGCTCCCAAGACGGCGCCGAAACGACCCAAGAGAGCCCTCAAGACGGCCCAAGTGCCGCCCAAGACGGACCAAGAGGCCCCAAGACGGGCCCAAGAGGGACTCAGGAGGGATACCGAGAACTCAAAAATGGAGCCCTCCGTCCCAGAAGGCGCCCAGGAGGTCCCAAAGAGGCCCCAAGAGGCCTCCAAGAGGCCCCAAGATGTCGCCAAGAGGCCCCAGGAGACTCCCAGGAGGCCCAAAAGAAGCCCCAGAAGGCTTCAAACATGTCTCCCAGGCGCCCCCGAACGGCCTCTCAACAGACCCCAAGAGGCCCCCCAAAGAAGCATCTTGACGACGACTCTATTTCGCCCCATCGAGAGACGACCCCCAGGGAACTGCTTCACCATCAAAACTCCCCACGCAACGCGTCCGAACGACACCCGCCCCCAAGAGCGC